CCTTCATTCTTCTGTAAAAATCTAATTGCCAAAGCATCATATTTACGTTACATTATTTTTGTTTGAAAAAGTAATTATAAGCCTACAAACAGGCTTATTTCAAAATGAATGTGCTGTTGAAAGAGATTTTCTTTTATGGTTCTTATATTCCACCTAAATCTCTACCTCTCTTTTAGTGTTAATATTAAGTTTCAGTTCAATGTATCATTGTGATTGTTATTTCTTTCAGAAGGAGAGAACGGAACAGAAGGAGAGAACTGTGGTTACTAGAGGTGGGAGAGGGGGAGAGGGGCTAGGGAGAAATTGGTTAATGGACACAAGGAATGATTACATTTGTAATAATGAACATGTTAATTATCCTGATTTGATCATCACACATTATACACAGGTATTGATACTCAACTCTGTACCCCACAAATATGTATAATCAATTATGTTTTAATTTTAAAAAAGTAGAAAGTTGAAAAATAAAAATGATGGTGCCAGAAATAAGAATTGTAGATTCCATAAACTTAGTACCTGATCTAAACATATAAAGCAATTAATTGATTAAGTGCCCCAAAATCAGGATGTAGAACTTCAATTAGATCATCGCTAGACTTAATCCAGGATACTTTATAAACTGTTGTGGAAATAAATGCATATATATTCATACAGATTTAACAAAAAACTGTTAGAAGTAATAAATGGATTCAGCAAAGTTGCTAGATGCCAAATATATACTAGTAATGAATAATCTAAAAAGGAAATTAAGAAACAAAAAAATAATTTTAAGAAGATAAGAGGTACTCTTAAAAGTATTAAAGGGAACTGTGTGAAATTTTCTATCTTTCTCTGGAAAACTAATAATTTTTATTTTTAAATTTTGGTATATTTTTTAAAGAAAGGACTAAAATTTTATAGTCCATAAATCCTCAGATTCAGATCTTATGTCTTCGTCATTTTGTGGAATATTCTAGAAAATTTAAGCTTTGAAATTGTTACATGGAGGCTTTTTCGACTTTCTCTTTACTCTTTCTCTCGTCCTTTTTCTTTATTCTCTTTTTTCTTCCCCAGAGATGTGCTTTGGGGATGTGTTTAGACTGAGAAGGAAATGTGTTTTTTCATTTTAATGGAACACTTCAATTATTGCTAAGCAGCAAGTTCCATAGACACATGGCAAGAAAGTGGTCAATTTATCAAAGTTTGCTATACAATTCTCTTGGTTGTCCACTTTTGAATTTCAGGCCTATTTTAATCCATAAGTGGAAAGAGTTGAAATAAAGCAGAAATGGGGTCAAGATGATGGGGAAAAAAGGAAAGGGACTGGCATTTGTTCTCAGAACTGGCCCAAGATGACCAGCATTTAGCCAAGACTTCTGAGATTGGTCTCACTCTGTCTCCCACATTCAGATGCTGCTTTGGGCAGTTATAGTTGTTGAAGTCTAGTGTGATATTCATGTGGGCTTGTTACCCTCTCTGTGACCATAACCCAACGTGGAAATCAACTCACTATCAGTTGTCCAGAGCACCATCAACACATACTATGAGTACTCTAGTGTGTGGGACCCTGTGCTGGGGCAGGAGGTTCAGAGGGCTCAAAGGAGCGGTCCTGATTTCATGCAACTGACATCCTAGTGCGGCAGAAAGACAACAAATAAGTGAATAGGCAGGACAATTTCTAACAGTGAGGATTCCAGAAAGGAAATAAAACAGGGTGACCTGCTAGATGGTGATGGGGAATTACTTTACAGAGGGTGGCCATGCTCTCGGAGCATGACGAATGATCATGAAAAAATTAGCCATATATATATATGGGGAGAGGAGGGCATTCCAGGCAGAGGAAACTACAAGTGCAAAGGCCATGAGGTGGAAATAAATTTGGCACGTTGAGGTGGCAGAAGGAAGGCTCCGTGGTTGGAGCATAATAAACAAGGAGGAAAGTGGCAGGAAGTGAGATCCTAGATGTAAGCGGGGTCCTGATCACATAGGTCCTTGCAGCCAGGCTAAGGACTTTGGAATTTCTTCTAATTGCAAAAGGAACCCACTAGCCTATTTAATGTATCCTGATCTCCCTGATGTTTTATAAAAGTTCACCCTGGTTGTTATGTGGCAAATGAACTAGAGGTAGGGCAAAGTAGAAAGAAGAAAATTAGAAGCTGTAGGGCTCTCAAGACTTAGGTATAGGCAGCCGCATTTTTAATTTTGAATGATTCCATTTTGTTCTATTGTCCTTTGGTGTTTGAGAATGTCAGGAAGATCAGAGAGTACAGAGAAGGGGAAAAATATATTTTATTTAACTGTATGCAATACGCTTGATTCAGTGAGACACTGTACCTTTCACTCATAAACAAATATTGAGTGTCTTCTCCATGCCAAGCACTGTTCTAAGTGTCACCAAAAAATGTTTCATTCCCTACTTCCTTATTTTATAAATTGTCATTCAATAATCTTACCTGTACAAAAATGTTTAATAGTTGAAAGTTATATCTTGCATATCCCCAATCTTTAAATTCTTTACCAGTTTTTCCTCTGAGCTGCTGCTAATTCCACCTTCAAATCCTGTTTTTCTTTAAATTAAATGATACAGAATATTAATTTTTATTAAACTCTTAAAACACTCCACAAAAGATATGATTAGTAGTAGGAACTTTACACTGGCTTTCAAATCTATATTAATGATGACTGTGTAAATGAACCATAGCAGTTTAAACTTTTTTAAGGTATAAATGCCCCATTTCACTATTCTCTGCTTCAGCTCCTCCTGCCCCAGTGCCCCACCCCTTGCAGGGCTAGGACTAGGGTAAGGTAACTGAGACCAAGTCAAACTGAATTAGGCATACACACGGTCACATCCTGTCTTTATTAAAAATGATTTTCTGGGGCCGGCCCGTTGGCGCACTGCTACAGTGCACCGCTTGGGAAGCGCGGCGGCGCTCCCGCCGAGGGTTCGGATCCCACATACAGACCGGCCACTCACTGGCTGAGCGAGGTGCGGGAGCAACACCGAGGGTTGCGATCCCGTGGCCGTGGCTAGTCCCGGTCCGGTACAGGCGCAACACTGAGGGTTGAGATCCGTTGCCGGTCACGAAAAAAGAAAAAAGGAAAATAAATAAATAAATAAATAAATAAATAAATATGATTTTCTGTTCAATGTGGAATTTTTTGTATTAATTTTATTTTTTTTTAATGTTGCATTAAAATAGAACTTACCAAGGTTACTGAGTTTTTTAGCACCTCTTTGAATTTGCAACTGAGGCAGTTGCCTCTCTCACCTCAGCCTAGTTCCTGCTCTGGCCCCTGCAACCTCCTGCAGCCCAAGCTCATCCCTGGATATATCAGTGTATTTTGAAACGGCTTTCTAAGTGCATCTGATATAATCCCATATTTAAATAGATGTGCTATAGACAAGGAGGAAAGTTCTTATGGTGTCATTTTTAGAAAACAGTTTAGATATACCCTGCAGAAGTTTTCCCAGGTCCTTTTCAATAAGTAGTTCTAAAAAAGGTGTGGCAGCTGTAAAAGTTTTAAAATAATGCAGAGATCTTTTAAAACTAGTTTACCTTCTTCTTTGCCCTTTATACCTCTCTTGAAAAGGGAAAGGAGGGAAGGGGCAAGACAGAGGCAGGGACAGGACTTTGACACAGTTTGAAAGCATCTGCTAGGACTGGAGTGTGCCATCTCTGCCTGGAGAGTGATGGGTTTGGGTTTGCAGCTCCCAGTCTCGTGGCATGTTAAGGTCTGATTAGCAAAAGGGGTCTTTGTGATTCAAAAATAAGTGAGCACTTACAGTTTCTAGAGGACCTGCAGTGGGCTTCAAAGGAAAATGACATCTGCTTGTCGTGAAATCTAGGTTCCTGGTCACTTTATCTCCCGAGATTAAGACCCAGAATTGTTTGACTCTCCTGCTTCATAGTTTTCTGTGTCGAGCAGTAGAATCAGAGTCAAACTATATGGGGTTGAAACATAGCTCTTCCCTCGGTTCTTGCATGAATTTGTTTGGGCTTCTCTCTGTACCTCAGTTTCCCAACCTGTAAAGTGATGATAACAATTCCTCCTTCAACAGGTGGCCATGTCTATTAAGTGAAATGACATCTGCAAGGGCTAGCATGACCTCACGTGATAGGTGCTCATTATATGTGTGATCATGAATCTCTCTAAACTATGTCAAGAGTTGTTCACACATTTTTAATTTGTTTTTATAAGGTGATGGATCAAGGCAGGTGCATACATTCCTATTAGTCATCCTTAATTATTCACAATGTCTAAGACCTTGAACTAATACTCACTGTTTTAGTCCGTTTCTGTTGCTGTAACAGAAATACCTGAAACTGGATAATTTATAAGGAAAAGAAGTTTATTTGGCTTATGATTCTGGGACAGCTGTGTCTGGCATGGGCCTCAGGCTGCTTCTACTCATGGCGGAAAGTGGCAGGCAGCTGGAGGGTACAAGCAGATCACATGGCGAGAGGAAGCAAGAGAGAGATAGAGGAGGTACCAGGGTCTTTTTAAACAACCAGCTCTCACAGGAACTAACAGAGGGAGAACTCACTCACTCACTACCCCTCCTCCCCCAGGGAGAGCATTAATCCATTCATGAGGGATCTGCCCCCATGACTCAATCAGTTTCCAGCACTGCCACATTGGAGATCAAATTTCCACATGAGTTTTGGTGGGGACAACACATCCAAACTCCATCACATACCTTGCATTTATAAATATTGGAGATAAAATATATAAAGCAACTAGCACAGTAGAATATCCTATGGTTTCAGGACATGAAAATTGAAATATGAAAATGGATTTAACAATTTAATGTTTTCATTCAGAAGCAATGAAACCAATATAGTGATTAGGGGACATGTAAGGCATTAGTTAGTAGAATGTAGACTACATGATTAATTATTCTTAAAGAAATATTATTTATAAAGAAAAGAAAACTAAATTAAAAGTCCTAAATAATTGTTTTTAGCCCTTTGATTTGTGATCAAAGTTTAAAATGTTTTATCTTTTATCTTCAGGTACTTAATCAAACTTCTCGACTTGAAATACAACTGCTGGAGAATTCATTATCAACCTACAAGCTAGAAAAGCAACTTCTTCAACAGACAAATGAAATTCTAAAGATTCATGAGAAAAACAGGTGAGGACTGTTCTATTCCAAAAGTATTTGCATTTGTACTTATTTATATCCTCCATCTTCCTGCCACCTCTTACAAAAATCAGGTTGAGGTGGTTTGTGAAAAAGAAATACAGAGCCAAATTAATTTTTAATATGAAAAGAAAGGAGGGCTTAAGGAGAATACAGGAAGTATGTCAACAATAAGATTAATACTGTTGCTTATACTCCTCGAACACTTGCTTCTTATAACTTTTAGCATTATTTTCTCTAATGTTCAGTCGTTCAAATCCCTCCATATCCACCAAAATTATTTGGCTAAATTTAGTGACACAAAATATTGACATTTTTCAGCAGAATTAAAATCTATAACAATAAAGAGAAAAATAGAGCATCTTGAATTATCATTCAACCAACTCTTAAGCTTTTGCAAAGCTACTGTTCAGTTTAGAGATCTTGCACTAGACAGAAGCAAAATTTATATTTTTTTCCGAAAAATATTTACCTGTAAAGCTGATCAAGAGGTTTCTGTATTTATTTATTTAAAGTCATTTACTCTGGATGTAATACATTTTTTTTTGTTTAGCTTTATAGTGTCATCACACCACTATGTTAGATAAAGTATGAATCATATGTAGGAGTTAAAAAAAAAGCCAAGTTTATAGAAGTAGAGAGTAGAACTGTGGCTCGAGGCTGCTAAGGGTAGGAAGAAAGGGGAATAGGGACAGGTTGGTTAAGAGATACAAAATTACAGCTAGATAGGAAAAATAAATTCTAATGGTCTACAGTAGTGCCAGGTGTCTATAATTAACAATAATTTATTATATGTTTTCAAATGAATCATCTCAGTAATTGACTTAGAGATCTTAAGAGCTAGGACAGCAGAAGACTATACTATTTTGAAGTCATCAACATTGATGATGGACAACTTGATCATACATATTTGATTATACATACTGATTGATTGATACATATTTGATTATACATATTGGTGGAATACAAAGTTGAGTATCAGTACCTGTGTACAATGTGTGATGATCAAACCAGGATAATTAGCATATTCATCATTACAAAACATAATCATTCTTTGTGTCCATAAACCAATTTCTTGCTAGCTCTCCTCCTCCTGCCCCTTCCCATCTCTAGTAACCATAATTCTGATCTCTCCTCTGTAAGTTCAATGTATTATTGTGATCTTTCTTTCTTTCTTTTTCTTTTATTCATTTAATTTTTAGCTCCCACTTATGAGTGAGGGCATGTGGTATTTCTCTTTCTGTGCCTGTCTTATTTCACTTAACATAGTTTTCTCCAAGCTCATCCATGTTGCTGCAAATGTCAGAATTTCATTCTTTTCTATGGCTGAGTAGTATTCCATTGTGTGTGTGTGTGTGTGTGTGTGTGTGTGTGTGTATCACATTTGCCTTATCCATTCATTCATTGATGGACATTTAGGTTGGTTCCATATCTTATTGTAAACAGAGCTGTGATAAGCATGGGTGTGCAGGTATCCCTTTGATATAATGATTTCCATTCCTTTGAGTGTATATCCAGTAATATATGGATTCCCCCTTTCTCTGCATCCTTACCATCGTTTGTTATTCTCTTTTTTTTTTCTTTTTTTGACCTGTAAGGGTATCACAACCCTCGGCACAGTGTGGTCTGCACCACACTCAGCCAGTGAGCCCACCTGCCATCCCTGTATAGGATCCGAACCCACGGCCTTGGTGCTAGCAGCACCACACTCTCCTGAGTGAGCCATGGGGCTGGCCCTTCTCTGTCTTTTTGATAATGGCCAGAGTAGGACAAATACCTTGTATTTAATTGGATTTTATTCTGGGTATTTGAAGGACTTGAAGAAGTTTCAGTTCTTGTGCATTATATTGAATTAAAGATCACTGTATAGATAAAAGCTAGTTAAAAACCATCGTATTGGTGGAACTAGATCTTCTGCCATATTCCAAGCCAGTAAGGCACCTAAGAGGACTGCTAGTTCCCTTCTTTCTTTACAGATGAGGGAACAGAGACTCAGTGAAAGTGAGTGACCTGTTCAAGGTCACAAAGCTTGCTAGTGACAGAGCTGGGAATGTAATCCTGGTTTCCTTGCTGTTAATCCTCCTGTGTCTACTGCAACACATGGCCTCTTCATACTGTCTACAACCTAAAAGGATTTCCCAACTTCATGCTAAAAGTAGACTTCAGTGCTGGCAATTACAGTTGAAAGTCTGCATGAAGAAGATAAGCCTGGATTTTGGTTTAGAATCTGAAAAGGGTCTCTCAGGCTCTGTGACTCGTACTTCTAAGTTTTGCATTTATTTATCGTGTACTATCTCATGGGGTTAACTGTACAATTATAAATAAACTTGATAGGACTTGACCCTGAACTGGCTGCATGATATAAAATGTTCTGGAATTGAAAATCCTACTGAAGAATCCCATTTATTTTACTGCACTCTCACAACAAACAGACATATCCATGTATGCAACAGGTATATGTTACTTCAACGGTCCCTTGACTTAGGGTCACCCCACCTGTGCTTCAGTTTTGTCACTAAATATGAACCCCATTTACAGTAATATGTTTCAAGATGTTATTGTGAAATATTTGTCTAGAAATCATAAATAAGTAAAACAATGACAATATCACCTTATTTTTCTGAGTTATTCATTTTTATAATTATATAAATAACACACATTTATTGTAGAAAAAGGAGAAAGTACACACATAAAAATTAAAAACCATAGTTTCATTGCAGAAAGAGAGCTACATATTTTGCTGTCTATTATCTATAAATATATATTTTTCACAAAAAGTTGTGTCATGCTATACACAGTGTTTTGCAGCCTGCTTACGTTGGAGATAGATATATTTTATATATCAATAAAATACCCCTGTAATATCATTCTTAATAACTTCATGATATTTCATTTTATAGGTGTAACCTAAGGTGGTTTTAAGCTCTCTCTCAATATGTATGCTACCACCTATGATTTGTCTTTTAGAAAGTTGCCAGCATGAATTTACATTCTTCAATTCTTTCTCTACTGATATGTTTATTATACCTTGGTCTGTATCTGACACTTTAGCTGTCAGGATACCACAAAATAAACTGGGAGGCGTGAAAGGTCTTAACTACAGAGACAAATGCTGTCCTTAAGTATCACTTGTACTGAGGTCTCTCTGTCTCTACTTCTTTTCCTCCCTCCTTATATTCATTCCTTGTTTTTCTTTCTTCCTTTAAAAAAAGAAGAAAAATCCCTTCTCTCTTAAATAATTTTAGTTTCTTTAGATCATTTTGGTTTTTCTGTCTTTCGATCATGATTTTGATACAACACCTGGCATCATTTTGTGCTATAGAACTCTATGAAATGTTATTTTTTTTCCCCTTTTTGTCTTTTTTACGGACCGGTAACGGGATCGCAACCCTTGGTGTCACGCCTGTACCGGGGACCGGCAACGGGATCGCAACCCTCGGTGTTGCGCCCGCACCGTGCTCAGCCAGTGAGCGGGAACCGGTCTCCACATGGGATCCTAACCCTCAGTGGGAGCGCCGCCGCGCTCCCAAGCAGTGCACTCTCCAGTGCGCCACTGGGCTGGCCCGAAATGTTATTTTTTAAAAAGCAAACTCCTTAAACATTTTTCTCTCTGTCCCATCAATAAAACTGAGTCAGGGTGCAAGCTCTGAAAAGAGCTCCACTCTGGGTTTAGTGAAAGAAGCATCTCTGTGTACTCCATGCTCTCGGAGGAAACTGACTCCTGATCCCAAGCACATACATTTCTTCTGCTGATGAGCTTTTTCCTCGTTAAATTCTAATTTCCATAGAAAACTGAGATTTTTGACATATGTAAATCAACCATTTATTTCTAATGATAATTTTTTCAGGATTATAATAATTCCCTTTTCTAGTAATGTAGATATTTTGCAAATAATGCAGGTTTTAATTTGAAATTCATTTCTTTGTACATGCTGACAAAAACTTACATGCATCTTATGTTCCTACTCCCCACCCCTTTCGTTTTAGACCCTGGACCTCCCATGTGGTTGCTGGGGGTGTTTTTCTATCAATTGCTGTACCTCCTGGCTTTGCTGTATCTCTATAGTTACGTCTGTCTCCCTGTTGAAGGGTCCAGTGTGTGTAAGGGAGTGTTGGTGGAACATCTATTCTTAAACTATTCTTCCATGAAGCACTTTTTTTAAAAAGTGATTTTCCTTATACAAACTGAAAATACTCACTTGTGTTATGTAGCATACTTTCCCTATCTTGTTTATTGTTATTGTTAATTTTCCTATGTGCAATGGAATTTGAGAAGTTTGTCCAAGCACTTTCTAAAGCAACAAAGAAATATGCTCCCCCCACTTAAGTGGAGAGAAGGTCAAAGTCAAACATAAAGCTGTTTATACTTTTTAAAAATAGTATAATGATCCTCCCTACCTATTCCTTATATGCCTCTTAATCCTCCAAATGCAGCAAGAAGCTATTTCTACACCGAGACATCTCTGAAATGTAGGAACAACGTTCCTTAAGTCGGCCAGGTCTGGTTTGGATCAACTAATACACTTGTAGAGGGGATTATCTAAATTAAGCTTTGCTTCCTCCCCAGGGAATGTCAGGAGTTGTGTCCGGGTATATGACTTACCAGCATTGAGTATGATCGGGACTCAGCCACCAAGTGAGTGAGATAGCCCTTAGGAGGGTCTACCATCTCTTTGGCAGAAAAAAGAAATATTTTATGGGTAGGATTATACTACACAAGCATGATGAGAGGTCCTGCTGACTTACATCCTGCCAAATTAAATGCATCACTTGTAGGATTGAAAACGGATTTCTGACCCCATTAGATTCACTTCTTTATCCCCCAAATAGCCAAAAGCACAAAGCAGGAATAGGATTAGCAACATTTTCTCTACTGTTTGTTTTCTGAACAATCCAGTGGGGTTGACTTCAAGAAGTTTCTAGTTTGCTTTCTTTGGGAAATATTTTTTTCTTTTGTTGGATGCTACTCTAATCTTAAAACTTAGTTTTTT